TTATTTCGTAATATCATTTTGAATTACACAAAAAGAAATCTAATCGGTTTAATAACTGATTAGTTTTTTATTTAAAAATAAAATATATATTATAAAAAATAAAAAATTTTTAAATTAAATTTTAGTTTCTTCATTATTTTCTTCTTGAATTAAATTTTCAAGATCTTCAATAGACTGTTCTAAATATTGAATAGGCATAATTGTGCCCTGTTTAGAACCTTTTAATACTCTTTTTCTAAATTTTTTTGCCTTAAAAAAATAAGGGCTATTACGATTCTTTGGTAATTTTTTTTCAATAAGTTTATAATGATCTATTCTAGTATTATAATAATCTTTTAATTAATGCATAAATACTAAATACTCTTCAACATTTGGAAATGTACTTTCAAATGAGTCATTATCAACTTTACTCGAAAGCTTCCAATTTTTTAATTCAAGATAATATCCAATCTCCTTCTTTTTAGTGAGGAGCTATTTTTTCATTTTTATTTTTATTATTGTTTTCAAAAACAATTTCTATAGTATGCTTTTGATTTTCTTTTGACATAATAAAATATTTAATGACTTTTGTTTGTTAAGTAAAAAAAATTTAGTTGGTCAAAAGACTAACTAGATTGATTTATTATTGTATTTGTTTATAATATTAATAAAATAAATAAAAATAATAATAAAAATAATTCGAAAATATTTTCCATATCGTATTCTAAATATTTTGCTAAAAACCTGTGTTGATATTAAATCAACTATTTCTGTTAATTCAAGATAAGTTGTATCGATATTTTTTGATATCTTGTAAGCTTTTTTAATTAAATTAAAAGAAGCTGTATCTCATTTAATCGTATCTGTTCAAACATCAGTAAATTCTTTGATATTATATTGTTTAATCGATGATTAACATGTGCTTCAATATCAGCTGATAAAACTATTTTTACTTCTGCATTTGGAAGAATATTTGTAGTAGCATCACGTTCTACCACAATACCCCTTTTCTTTTGTAATATCTTGAATAATCTTGTTAATTGTTTAATGTATATTTTCATTTTGGGCAATAAATATAGCATCTTGACCTGAAATTAAATTTTTTTGGTTATCGATATCATTTATAAATGATAATAAATCTTCTGATTGTTGTTCTGATAACCAAGCGATTATTACTTCTTTATCTTCATATTGAAAATTTAATGCTAAATAGCAATAAAATAAACTACTATTAATTAATTGATAGTTTAGCTTTTTTGCTAACAATTTACCAACAGTTGATTTCTCTGAAGCAGAGAAACCATCAATCGCTAAATTGATTTTATCTATAGTTATATAATTAAAATTCTAATCAGTTTAATAACTGATTAGATTAAATTTTATTTTCAACCAAAAAAATAATCATAATTAATTGTTGAAATTGCAATTCTGATTTAATATCTTTTAATTTTTTATAATATTGATATTGATAAAGATCTACCAGATTAAAAAAGTTTATATATTTGTCGTGAAATTCTTGAGCTTCTTTATAATTTGTTCTTTTATACATATAGTAATCATTTTTTAATTTTTCTGATTCTTCACGAAATTGATTAACAATTTTAACATAAACTGATTTCTTTAATATTTCTATAATTATATAATTAAATTTCTAATTAGTTTAATAACTGATTAGATAACTTTATTCATAAATAATTGTTAAATTAGTATTAAATTTATAAAGTTTAAATATATATGCTACCTTTATCAACTAATATAAATGATGAATTGTTTTAATATATGTTAAATTTTTTTTATAAACTAAATTATTCTCTTTATATTTCAAGAGTAAAATTTGATATTTGATAAAACAATTTTGATATCTATTAACAAAATTCTGCGCTTTGTTATAAGTCTCATTTGTAATTTCTTTTTTATGATATGTGTGATTAATTGATTATAATCAGAACAAAATTGAAGAAATTAATTTGTATATATTTTTATTTTATATAAATAAAAATTTAATTGGTTTTAAAACTGATTAAATATATTCATTCTATTAAAGAAAGATTTAATTCTTTTTGTATTTCTTTTAACAAATATTCAAGTTCTTTATATTTTGTTAAAATAATTTCTATTCTGATTTTATCTTTTATAACAAGATTTTGAATATTTTTTTTTAAAGTTTCATCAACACCTTTTTTTTGTTTAGAGATTTCAAAAAAATGATGAGATACAAAACCAATGATATTTTTACTTCAATAATCTTTTTTATCAGCTATTTTTGTTAAAAAAAAATTCTACTTGGTTAATTATAACTAAGTAGAAATAATTTATTTAATAAATATAATCAAATATAATCAATATATGTTTGAGAACAATTTTCAGCTGAATGATTTTTGTTACATCAATAACAAATCCTTTGAATCAAATCTGAATTAAATTCTTTAAATTGTTGATTATCTGTATACAAAACTACTTGTCCATTACAAATTTTTCTTTTGCAATTATAAATAATTTTGTTTACATTATTTGTGCGATATTTGCATTTTGCAAATTGACAATATTCACTACATTTATTTTTTTGATCTGTTGGATAAATAAACCCACAAATATATACACAATCACAATTGATCTTTTTGCAAGATGTATAGCAAATATGTGTGGTTGTTTTTTCACAATTCCAGCATTCTCCTTTATTTAATCTAGTTATATATGTATGTTTCATATTAATAGAATTAACTTCATTTGAAGATTGAAAAAAATAATATTTATCTATTTATGGATTTTGTTCAAGGTATAATGATATACTTATAATTTGATTGTTTTTAAAATTTTGATTAATTGAATTTTCTTTTAAAATTTCTTTAATTAAAATAAACATTTCATTTAATACTGCTCTAGGAACAGTATTATTTCGAAGTTGTTGTAAAAATTGTTAATACATTTTTACGATAAAAAAATTCTGTTCGGTTAATTAGACTAAACAAAAGGAGATTGATAATTACTAGAAGAAACTGAATGATATTCTGGTGATTTTATAAAATTTTCAATTTTTGTTAAACGATTATATATCTCTGATTCAATTTTTTTATCTTCTTGTTTCTTTTTTTTACCTTTACGAAATATATATTGTTTAAATTCTTGTAGAAGCTTTGTTTCATTTTTATAAATTGTTGAACCCGGATCTTTAAAACTCTTGATCCAAAAAAAATATCATAATCAAGTTTGTAAGTACGAAAATTTTTCTTTAATCTTATTAAAGATCTTTTTGCAGATAAATGACATAATTTTTTTTTTGTTGAAAGAGTTTTGTCGACACTTTTAAGTAATTTGAAATAATGACACCTTTAACTAAAAGGATATCGATTATCTCTATAATAAGAATCATATTGCCAAAGATGTGGATAAAATTTACGTTTATCGGGGTATTTGCATTGAAAAAAATCAAAATATTTAAAATATTAGCTATGTTCTAATATATCAAATTTTTCTTTAGAACTTCGTTTAAAATATTGAATCACATATAAACGATTGAGATCAATATTCTACCAAGGAATAGAATTTATAACAACATATAATTCGTGAATGATTTTATAATCGATTGGTTTGTGACGAGTAAAATGTGTAGTAATATCTCTATCAAGAGACATTTTAAGAAACAATTTTTTGTTTCTTAATGAATAACTGTAGCATAGCTAACTGTATTCAGTATCAAACCAGAACTGATTTGATGAGGAATCTTGGTATTTTTTCACAGCTTTTTATAGAGAATTTCTAAAATACCAAAAAAAAAACCAAGTTTTTTTCTTCTCTTGATGATATTAATTTGTAAATTATTTTATTCAAATTAGGGATTATCTTAATAAGTATATATATAAAAAATTAATGTAAATTTGATAAAAATATTGAAATTTTTAAATTGATAACTAAATTTGGATAGTACTCTAATAATTTATTAATATACAAATCAAGTAATTCTAAATTAAGTAAATATACAAATTATATTTCTAAAAATGATATATATGTATATAAGTTACATCAAATCTACAATTAATCATATATGATAAAAAAAGAAAAAGAAACAACAATTCTTTAGAAAAAAAAATAACAATTTTTTTAAAAAAAACTAAAAAACAGAAAAGTAGCAATATTTCCTAATGAATTAATAAGAATACTTATCGAATTTGTTTGTATTGTTGTGATTGATGACAATAAAATTCATAATAATTTTTCAGAATTTCATTCAAAAAATATTATTGATAAATTTCGTTTACTTAACCATTCTGTTAAACAGCATTTTAAATTTTTATTTATTAATATTTTTTTAAACCAATTTAATATTACAATCAAAAAAAATTAAATGATTTAGCTTTAAAATATATCAAAATTAATTATAATAATATGTTTGGTAAAATTTGTAAACTTATAGCAACAACTGAAAAATTTACTTTCTGGAAAATTCTTTTATTAAATACTCTTATCTTTATACAATGTATATCACCACCATCTTATTCAGATTTTTTTATCAAAATAGATTGTTTTCAATATTTTAATTTAACTTACAGAACAGAATTTATTGATCTTTGTTTTTGTG